AAACCACAGTTTTGCCCTAAATATACTTGTGGTTGTCTTGGAGACATAGCATGACTATAGTCTCTTCTCATGTAGAAGCGATGATTTACCAGGTTTATCTGAGATTACTGGATTCTATAATTCTATAATTGCCTTACCTAACAACTATATTTGCTTGTCATTGGCATTTGTCCTAAAAAATTCAGGGCAAGCATTGCCCTGATTTTTGCAGTTCAAGTCAGTTGGTGTGGAGAATCTGATGACCACACAAGACATGCTTGAAAAGACATAATTTCAGACTAACTGCTGTCAGACACTGTGATAGGTTGCTCAGCTAGTTGGAGTTTATCTTCAAGTTTTGCTTCATCTGAAAGGAATCTGTTTGATGAGCTCCAGGATTGCTTTGTGACACAAGTGCTCTCTTGATCCAAACAAAGAAGTTAATGCAGCCACATGCTTCAAGGAGATGATATATGTGAAAAGGGAAAGTTGTCAATACTGTAAATTGAGAAAGACAAGTGATCTTGAAAGCTGGAACAAAACTACTGGACAACATCTCAGGCAACTTTCATCCATCCTTCCCTAAGAGAATGCTCTCATTCTCAATTTCTTCTAAGTGTAACTCAAAAGTATAGAATTATTTATCACAGGCACTGCACTTCCTTCATTGTAATATAATGTTTAGCAAATAAAGAAAGCAGATGCCACCACCTGATGGAAAAAGGACTTCTTAGTGATATCTTATTTAGCATACACACTTTGGAGAAATGCTATACACCAAACACTCTGCTCAAGTCCAGTCTCTTAATTTGCAAAGTAGCCTTATCTGAACTTATCTTCAGCTGCAGAAAGATATACCATGATCATCACTCTGCTGCAGTTCATTTTCAAAGATGGCACTGGTGAATGGGTAGACCCCTCCTTGTGCTAATTATGACTGACTCCTTATTCTATCTTAGAGCTTTATGAGATAAAATACATCTCAATGTTTGCATAGACTGAAAAAAAAAGGAAAAGGTAAGGTAAATTCCTTTGCACAGATCTGGTCTGGAGGATGTTTGGGTAACAGTTTGCTTAGCATCACCTTCATTGGTGGATCTGCCGATTCTTGGTCTACTTTGAAGTGTCTCTAGTGACCATACCAAATGTGCATTGCAGACTAATGTCAATGTCTGCCTTCCTCAGACAACCCACACCTCTGCTTTTCTCTGCAATTTTTTTTCTTATGCTGCCATGGTCTGTGTATTTTTGCTACTTCATGAAATCCAGCCATTTCAGCCTTACTACACTTTTTTTTTTCTGACTTCTGGTTCACATTCAATTAATAGTTAAATGACTTAATAGTTCTGATTTTACCTGTTTATTTTGGTAATATTTTAACAAAATGTTTTACACCAGAAACCTTTTTAATGGAAACATTTTTTCACTATTAGCAGTATTACAATGAATACAGGAGAAAAAGCCCCATCACAAAAACCCCCATCACAACAGCAGAACCTTTAGCAGATGTACCTCAAAAAGAATTCTTACAAAGTTAATTTTTTAAAAAATCAGTGCCTCTAGAGAAATATAGTAGAGACCTCAATCACATTCCAGTCAGAGATGTTTTTCAGTCATTCAAAATAATACAGAAGCTAAAAATCTTGCTAATGCACTGTTTGAGAGTTAATGAGAAACATTTCCAAAATTAAATATGGATTGCAGTGATGACCAAGAGAGACAAGCTGACTGTATAAATCCTGCTGTGTTTGCCAAGTCAGGAATGAATTAATTTTCTGTGTTCCTCCCAACAGCCTTGGGTCTGGAAGTGTTGCAATGTGCCTCCAGCTAGCACTGCATACCTTGGATTGATGGAAGACAGTTTATGCAGGCACAGCAGAACATAATCTTTCATCTTCACTTATCTGCAGTGAGTGGGCAGAATGTGTGGACATGTTTCCATTTGGTAAATAAAACAGTACCAGAACATGAAATGAAAGAAGTATCAGAAGCAGGATGAAAAGGGGTGGAAGGGACAGAACATGTCTGGATTATTCTCCACTGATTTTGCAAAACACTTGTAGTTTGCTTAGCAAATGTTATGATGTATTTTTATCAATAATGAGAACATCTACCTTGACAATTCTATAGTCCATGTTTGCTGCCTGCTTTGTGAAGAACATAAAAAAGAGCTTTCCTCTACCTTAATATCTAGTTTAGTAGTTAGTCAATGAGTAAGTGGCAGTGCAGTGTTAAAATAATCCACATTTGATTCCATGTTTAACAAAATAGTTTGAGGAACTTCTGCTTTGAAAAACTCTGTCTTTAGCTGTGGTGTGAAACAGAGAACTAAGAATCACCAGAACCTAGAGAACGTACTGTTCCCAAAACAGGCACAAGTTAAGTAATCTAAAATACTTAGTAGCTGTTAAGTTTGTAGATAAGAACTTAGGGACTATATGAGAGGAACCTGTATGTTCAAGCTTCCAAATATCTCAGCGACAGTCTGGGCAAGTCAGACCAAGCAGCCAAACCAGCCTCCTAAAAATAAGCAAATAAATCAGCCGAAGTCCCCAAGATGCTCCTGCCAACAGCCTCCACGGAGTCTTTAAGGGCTCTTCCTCTTCAGTGACACGGTCTCTTCAACGAGGGAGGTTTGCAGCTGTTCGTCCTTTGAAAACAAACAAACAAACAAACAAACGAACGAACGTCACCTCACATCTCGCAATCTTTACGTGGAGGATTTCCTGCGGCGGAGCCTGAGCCCAGCCGCAGCAGCGAGGGGCTGGGGCGGCCGCTCAAACACTTTGTTTCTCGGAGGTTGCGTTCAACCAGCAGCGCTTACCTGCGCCGGGGCAGGGAGGGGACGGGGGTGGCCCTGCCCTGCCCTGCCCCGGGGCCACCCCGCGGTCCGGGGGACAGGCAGGTTTGCAGGCGGGGAAGGTGAGGCTCGCCGGGAGGAGCCGCCCGTGCGGGGGCAGCGGAGCCGCGGTCCCTCCGCTGCCGGGGCTCTCTGGGAGGCGGCAGCGGGGCTCGCCCGCTCCCGAGGAGCAGGTAGGGGACTGCCCGGGCCCTGGCCCGGCCCCAGCGAGCCCTCGGTGTAACGGGGGCTCGGCCGGCCCCGAAAGCCGGGAGCGGCCGGGGCGGCAGCGGGTGCGGGCAGCGGGTG